GGGGGGGTTAATCAATTTTCTGATTATCAAAAGATGTGCCACTACAAATAGACAATGCTGCTGTTTACAAACATTGTCAAAAGAAAATGGTGGCTTTTTCCAAATTGCTGAGTATCCTTTCAACATTACTTGACTTACAAATAGGATTTGCCACTCTGTACCAGTTGCTTGATCCATCCAATCCAGTGGTAATCACCACACAGGATCACACTATTAATCCACTCAGCCCAATTACACCACCTACAGAAATAACTTTTAGCTGTCATTTCAGACAAAAAAAATACCCTCCCCATGATGCAACTGACCACATGCAACAGACTGTTTTATACATATACATATGTTTCAGTTTTATTTTAAGGGGTCTCTTTTGTGCCATACAGCCCATAAAAAATTTAAACTGTTTTTAAAAATTCTGAAAAACAGAAAAAATATCTTATTTGCTTGATCTTTTTTTAAGGATCAGTAAATGCCTCCCATTACACATCCTGTTATTCCATAAAGAACCACCCTGTAATACATGGGTTAGGTGGTAAAAGTCACCAGATGCAGAATAAAGAGACACTGTGCTGTTTGAATGAGAGAATTGCATTGAATTACATTTTGTTCCACTGATATTTACGAAATATCTTTCCTTCCCATGAGGCCAGGGCATTGGATCATACCATGTGTTCAGCTTTCATCCTCCCATTCTGGCTTGGCTGGAAATTTTGCCTCTCTACAGTAAAGTATTTTCCTTTACTTTACACTTACTTCTAGCTCCCTTTCTCCAGCTGTTTCTAGGAATAGGTCTGGTCGGAAGGGTTGCCTTCCTTTGCCGCTCTCCACTCTGTAAAGTTTCTCTAATGCAGAAAAAAATGCATATTTAAACAATAAAGCATAAGAGCAAGTGCATTTCAGGGTGGATACAGTAGGCTTAGATGGTGATATAAACAGAAAAAAGGCCTGAAGCTAGAGCCTGGATCAGGACAAACACTGGCAAAAGATAATGGTGGCCTTCCTTTGAGATGGATCTGAACTTTAGGGTATTTCTAATTATAAGGCACACAGCTAAAACAGGGGAACTTGAAGGTAACTGGGAAATGAAAGGAACAGAAATGGATAGGTGTATTTATTCGTAATGATAGACATCAATGTGACATCGTCCCATGTGAATGTTAGGCATTATTTAGTGCCTTTCTTGGCATGTGGTATAACCATGGTAAAAAGAGTATGAAAGCCCATTAGGATATTATATGCTGATTTGCAGAAGTACAGAGCACTCACAAATTACCATAAAATCAATAGGAGCTACAGATCCTCAGTCCCATTAAAAATCAGACTTTTAACATATATATATATCCATAATTTTAAAATATAGTAATTTCTTGGCTCATCACCCATAATCATGAATATACTGCCCCACCTATCAGAGTGCTCTGTCCTCTGAACATGTCAGAATTCAAGCCATATTTGCCAAACTCAGTTATATTGTGCCATTGACATGTCTCCTCCCTGACAAAAATTACTCTAATGCCAGCCTACCCATGAAAAGGCCTTCTGCAGGAAACATTATATATAATTCTGTGCATAAAACAGGGATTTTTTGCCTGCTATTAGTAAAACTATACATCAATCTTCTCTCACTGTTTCTCAGATATTTACAGAGTACCAGTCATCATGGTATCTAGTTGCTGTAGTTCAGAGGCAGATGGTGCCTCAAGCATAATTCAAAGTTTCTTAAATAAGTTAGGTTTGCCCTCTTTCTTTCATCATAACTAATGAGTTAGTCCAAGTAAACAAAAAGCAACTAATGGCCTTTAAAGCCTTCCTAATGGTAAAATAGAGCCTGCTGATTACAGAACCATACTATAGAAGAATGGTGTCCAACTTTCTGGACCTGTGGGCCAAATAAGTGGGTCAGGGGTGGCACATAGGCTGGATCCTATGTGGGGTCTGTGTGTGGGGTCAATCCATAGGTACCATCCAGCACACCTGGATTCAGATGCATGTACTGGCCCAAACACGCACTGGTCACATTATTTGGCAGGAGGAGAGTGGCAATCGACACTGCCACTCCTCCCCCATTGCCAAATTTCCAGACTTGTGGAGAGCCTCACAGGCCAGACCTGGTCTGCAAGCCGCAGGTTGAGCACCATTGCTATAGAAACCTAGCCCCTTGGTTGCCTATATGTAGGCCAGAATTATTAAACCAAATTGTGAAATCAGGAACAATAACAAAACCAGTAAACCTACCAGTATAACCTGAACATACTTTGTGTTGACTAGGAAAAGCTCTATGGAGTGTACATGCAGTCGCTGTACTGGAGGGAAGATGTGTCATTGTATTTAAAGGATGACCGGCAGATTAAAAGTGTCACTTGGTGAACCTAGAATAAGCAAACAGGCTACAGACCCAATAGTATTAGAAGGATACTAAGTATATTGTCATCTATGCCAGCTTCAGAAGATGACACAGAGTACATCTCTTGATGCTAGAAAAGCTTTTATTTGGTTGGGCTTAGCCTGCACAATGGAAATACTGAAGATATTTGGAACAGGCAAAATGTGTCTAAAGTGGTGAGATGTAATATTAAAACCCAGATCCAAGTGAAACTAAAGGGCCAGATTATTAAATCTGCCCCAGTGATTGAGTGGGGGACAGTGAGAAGGCCACTGCCCATCAGAAGCAGTCCAAAATACTGTGCCTGCAGTCTGTTTATTGACCTGAGCAAAACAATGGGAGAATGTGGTTAATGAATGACTATTTGAAAGGGACCATTGTGTTAATTCACTCGTATGGGACAAGGTCTGTCAGCTAACTGATGGCTCCCTCTCCATCCATTTTGGAGATTTTTTTTTTTGCCAGTAGTGATATTACACATGCAAATTACTTCCAGCTACTGAAACTATAACTGCTCCCTGCACAAGGTAAAGAAGGGAGGTTATTTGTTCCCCCTCTGTCCCCATCACATGCTCACAGAGAGCTGGGCACTGTCTGTCACAGTATACTTTTGCAAGGAAAGTATACTGCTATAAAGATGATCATTACACTAAAAACAGTACGTTTAGCAAATGATCTGTTTTCTTCTAATTAAGTAGAACTCTGTAAATGTGTGAGAACTGGAGATGATTTGTTGGTTTGATTTTAGGGAAACAGAAGCCCCAAACTAAATCTGACATGTTTTCCTTCCACGTGAGCCTTTTCAGATCTCTGTTTGTATTAATAAGCTGGCGACCAGATGGGATGGATAAACATACATTTTAGCTACTTTCAAATGGGAGGGAGCTATTATGCTGTCACTCCTACATCTGCATAATCCTGTAGCAATAAAGTAAACTAAATTACCCTAACTTTGCAGCTGTATGAAGCAGAGTTAAAAAGTTGGGAGAGCAAGAATCACGCAGGTGCAAGAGTTGCAAAGTAACAGCTTGTATTAGTATCCTTTGATAGCAATATAATTGTTATGCTTGTTTATATCCTGAGAGGCTATGTTTTCCATTCTTGGAATACTGCAGGGTTGGCAATGTACAGTGCCAACTTACCCTAGAAGTTCTTCGGAAATGCTAAGAGAAGGAAAAAGCTAGAAGGCAGTCTGTTGCATTGCATGCTAAAACAAACACAGGGAGGGGGTGGCAGAATGACTCAGAGGAGAAAGAGGTGTCTGCACTTGTAGGTAACCTGTAATTAGAAAAATCCCATACTCTAGCATGCTGGTGGCAATCCTAACTTGTGATGATGGATGGATTCTGGCATCACAGCATTACTAGATTTATATCACCTGAACAAAATGTGTTCATTTCCAGAACTGCAAAACAATCCTGGTTTCCCAGTAAAAGAAACTTTTTAATACTTGGCACCATAGGTAGG